ATTTTATTTTATTTTATTTTATTATTATTATTATTATTATTTTTTTTTTAAACTTGCCTTTATTTATTTATTTTTTTGAATAGTTTTTTGCCCATGCAATTAAAGTAAAAAAATAAATAAAAATACAAAAAAAGTCATGCAGGTTTGGAACAACATAAGAATAAAAGATGATAGAATTTTCAGTTTCTGGTGAACTAACCCTTTAACATGTTTACCGTGTTGATTTGGGTTGTTTTGTTATGATGTTTCTCAGTAATTATATGATATCTGTATAATTCCAGTCATTTAATTATTTACTTATTTAGTCCTGTCTGGCCCATGCTGTAAATTGAAAATGGCTTCTATTTAATCTTAATCATCTTCAAATATGAAAATTACACGGTGCTTCTGAGGCAGTATGAGCCAGACCTCTGTGCGGTGACCGATAAGAACACAGAGAAATCGTATTTATCAAATTCAATTTTCATTGAATGAAGGGCCACCCGAGTCTGCCCCCTTGAGTGTAATTTGAGCCACTGGAATGGATTTTAGCCCTGTGGTATTATTATATGCGGCTTATAAAGAGGGAGGGGGTCTCTTCCCCGAAACGCTCAGGAATATAAACAGGCTTCATATTTGCTATTAAAAGAGAGCCGCTCTTATTAGGCTCAAATAATGTGGATTTCATGCCTGTTCGTGATAAATTTAAATAAATTTGCTGTTGAGTTTAGTCTCTAATCTGTTTGCATGATTATTTATGTGGACGCATGTTCGTTAATAAATTTGTTCGTTAGCGTGTTTACTCTTTGCACAAAATCAAAATTGGCCTGTGCAAGCAAACAATTACAGAACACAAATGCACAACTCTATCATCTCTCACTAGCATGATTGTGCATATTTTGAGGTGCAATTTTAATTAGCCCCAAGAGACTTTCTCAAACAACGAGGGAAAACAGCTGCTGATTTCGATGACATTCATATCATAACTCTGTGCGTCTCTTCTTGGAAGTCATTATGTATACGCTAGTGTATACAAGCTCAGTGTAAATGAGAAATCTCATGTTTTAACCTCTGACATCTCGGGTTCAGGCAGAGTGGAACATTTAAAGGACTAATTCACATAAAAAATATAATATTCTCATTATTTACTCACACTCATGTTGCTATAAACCTTGTATGACTTGTGATAGTCTCATTTCCATGCATTTAAAATGTCTAGGAACCTGTCATGCTTCCACAGAAGCACCAAGAAAGCATAACAAAAAGTCCTGAAGTCATTCAATAGCTTTATTTTGGAAACATGTATTTAAAAAAATTAGCTGAAAGTTTGCTCACCCTTAGGCCATACAAATTGTAGATGAGTTTGTTTCTTCATGGGAGCAAATTTGGATAAATTTAGCATTACATCACATGTTCGCCAATGGATCCTCTGCAGTGAATGGGTGCCGTCAGAATGAGAGTTCAAACAGCTGATAAAAACATCACAATAATCGGTATAGAGTACCTGGATTTGTTTCTTACAAACACATAGATTTTCACTTTACAAGAT